AAAAAAAAAAAAAAGAGTCCCTAACTAGGAGATCCCAGTGGCAAGCTTTACCTATCCCATCATAACTGTGAACTATGATAAAATCTTAAGCCATTCCAGATGACTGAATGAACCCCTTTTGGCCAAAGGGACCCCAGAAGTATCTTAAAGCTGAGTTCCTGGCTATGAGAAGAGGCCTTATCATGCCCCTCTCCCTTCTTGGAGATGTTCCTTATAACTCATTAACAGGCCTATGGCTATACAAGACAAAACTTAAACCATACCAGTTGGTCATCAATTTATTAACAGATCGCTAGAGTCTATGTCTAGCAAGGGGCTTGTGTCTGATTATCAGAATTTTTTTTTTTTTTTGCAGTATTTTTGGCCAGGACCAGGCTTGAACCTGCTACCCTTGGTATATGGGGCCAGTGCCCTACTCACTGAGCCAAAGGTGCCACCCTAAATGTTTTGTTTTGTTTTGTTTTTGCAGTTTTTGGCCAGGGCTGGGTTTGAACTTTTGGCATATGGGGCCGGCACCCTACTTCTTTGAGCCACAGGCACCACCCTACCTCCCCCCAATCTTCCCGGTTCTCCTCCTCCTGGCATGATGCCAGCACCCCAAATGTGGGGCCCTCCCATGATGCTGATGATGCGTCCTCCTTCTCCTGGGATGATGCCAGTGGGACCTACTCCTGGAATGAGGCCACCCATGGGAGGTCACATGCCAATGATGCCTGGGCCCCCAATGATGAGACCTCCTGCTGGTCCCATGTTGGTGCCCACTCATCCTGGAATGACTTGACCAGACAGATAAGGGTAGAGGGGAGTGTTCTTTATGTCAGTTTCATATTACTTGTTCTGCTTCACCAGGCGATCATAGTAAGGGAGACTTGCTCCTCCTTCCTACTTCCTATGAAAGAGAATAGTTTTTTTTTTTTTTTTTGAGACAGAGCCTCGAGCCATCATCCTGGGTAGAATGCCATTGCATCACAGCTCACAGCAACCTCGAACTCCTGGGTTCAAGTGATTCTCCTGCCTCTGCCTCCCAAGTAGCTGGGACTACAGGCACCAGCCACAACACTCGGCTATTTTTTTGGTTGCAGCTGTCATTGTTGTTTGGCGGTGGGCCGGGCTGGATTCGAACCCGCCAGCTGGGGTGTATGCGGCTGGCGCCTTGGCCACTTGAGCCACAGGCGCCGAGCTGAAAGAGAATAGTTTTGAAGGGAAGAAGTAAACCCCCTAAGGGGGGCAGCTTTCATTTGTATTGTGAAATGTGAAAATAAAACTGTTAAGTAATGTTAACCAGTTTGATGGAAGTGTCTTGGATGGTGTGTGAAAACACCACACTGTACCCCCAAAGTGCATCAATGTACACAGTTACCATTCAATAAAAAAAAAATAATAAAAATAAAAAATAAAATAAAGTAAAAACTCACTTTAATTTGGAAGTCATTGGAAGTGAGGCTATGCAAGTAGTGAAACCAGCTGGTGGGAATCTGCTGGGTGCTGTAGGCTGGTGGGCTGATGGGGCGGCAGATGAGGAGGAAGACCCTGCTCTTGAGGAAGAAAATGAAGAAATTAGAGGAGGTGCAGAAGGTGGACACAGTAAAAGACAGAGACGTTTTTCTGAAGAATTGAGATGTATGATGTATGGCTTTGGAGATGAAAAGAATCTTTATATTAAGTCAGCAGAGCTTCTTGAAGAGTATCTCCTCTTGAAGAATATCTACCGTGATAGACTTCCTTACTGAAATGACTCACGAGGCCAGGTCTATTGGCAGACAAGGTTGAGTACAAGTTGAAGATACCATCTTCTTGATTCACAAGGACCCTGGGAAGTTTGCTAGGGTTAAAGACCTGTTTACTATGAATGAAGAGTTGAAATGGGCTAGAAAAGCATTTGATGAAGCCAACTATGGATCTTGACATCTTTTCTAGTTTCTGAAACTCCATTATGTTCTAGGGAAACCATGTGTAAGAATTGTTATATTTTCTACAGTAAGGTCCTAATATCTACCTATGTAAATGAAAAGTAGAGAAACCAAGTTTTCTGCCTTTATTTTCATGGCTGTGATTTTTATAGTGATATTGGATTAATTGCCTGCTTTTATATAACCATACTTGAATTACTTACTGAGTTTTAATGACCACACATAAGTTAAAGCACCTTTCAAACCACACAGTTCTTTCTCCACGGGA